TGTCCGTGAGCGTTTTCCAAAAGAAAAAAGAAAGAAAGAAAGAAAGAAAGAAAGAAAGAAAGAAAGAAAGAAAGAAAGAAAAAAGAAAAAAAAGTGAAACGAAAAAAGGCGCCAATACGTGGAGAATGGATCGTTAGAGAAAAGATTTCGGTCTCGATCTCGATATTCAACGTTCGGAGGGGGAGGGGAAGAAGAAGAAGGTTAGAGAAGGAGGCGGTAATCCAGGTACGACGTAGCGTCTGCGAATCGAGTGGAAATTTACATTTAAAGGAGCTCGAAGACACTCTCGGAAGCTACGGTGTGCCCGGTGTGCCGTTTCGCCGCTTGTTTTTATTTTCTCGCAATTTCCTCGACGGAGCGGAACGGAAAACGGTCTTAAAAGGAATTAGCACGCTTTACTACTCCGCCTATCTCCCGTCAACTCTTCAACCTCTTCGGAATTTCTCCCGGAAATTCCTTCTCCGTTCCCCCTATGCTTCGTCATCGCAGCGCCTCCCAAGATCGAACGATAATTTCGACGAAAAAAAAAAAAAAAAAAGAAAAAAGCGAAAAATTTAAACTTTAATTGTTAAACTTGTTCGATTCCAGATTCTGCGTGGGGGACAAATTTTTCTTGTGCGAGAACAAAATCCTGTGCGAGAGCGACTACGAGGAGAGACTGGTTTTTGCCAACATGGCGGTCCATCCACCATCGACCGCGACATTGGCGCAGATCAAGAGACAAGTGTTCCATCTTCAACCACAGGTTAATTGAACTGCTTTCGCCCATCGTTCTTTCAAAAATTTCCCTCCAAGAATTTATCTCCTCCGTTTTTTCGTTTTCCTCCGAAGCATCCATCGATTATGCCGGGCCTCGGGATCCGTATAATCCCCGGTGGTTGACGCGCTTTGACAACGATACCGCTATAAACGTGGTCGATATCACCCTCCCCTCCCCCCTCCCCAATGGTTCCGCCGCAAATATGTATGCTGACCATGCAACCGTATCACTTTCACCGCGCGGCCAGGGTGTGCTTTGAATCACGGCGGGGGATCACGATCCATCGCGTTGTGGATGTTCCTGCGAAGGTTGAAAACTCCTTAAGACGTAACCCCTTAAGATGGGGGTTAAAGTGGCAGGTCGCTCATCCTGACCCTCCCCGACAACAAAGGACTCCCTCGAGGCTTCAGCTATGCTTTACAGCCCCAGCCATCGTCTTACGAGTCGGGATATCGCGTGTCCTTATTAATTAAGCTTCGTCCGTTAAGCAAGCCTCATCGCATACCGTAACGATCTCGTCCTCTTCGGCAACGCTGGAACGTGCGAAAGAATTCACTCTTTGGATCAGAGATTAGATGCCGGCGTCTTAAGAGGAGTTGAGCGTGGTTGAAATTTCCGAATCTCGTCCTCTCTTTCGCGAAAAAATTGCAGGAAAACGAGGAAGATATTCCAAGTATCGTGGATGGTACGATAAATAAATAAGGATATATATATATACGTCTTCTTTTCTTCATGGATGAAAGATATCTTCCATCGATGATCGATGAAAAGTTACGTATTTCAACAAGTTGAAATTATAAACTCGTCTTCGGTGTTAAGCCGTCCGAGTTTCTTGATTATCTTGAGACAACAGCCGTGCTCCGGAAACAATATCTTCTTAAGCCCTAGGACCCGTCCGACCCAACCAGGATCCGATCTACTTAATCCGGCCACCGTCTTGCAAGGTTGTTTACGTCCCTTTTGCACGCTTTGCACGTCACGTACCGTAATTTACCAAAGCGCAATATTTACCGATTAACAACTCGCCGTTATACATATCGCGCGATTCGTTCTCGAGATTCTCCATGTAGACATTTTGACAGAACGTCGCGCAACACATTTTGAAAATTCAAAACACGTACAAAATTTTCCCGTTTCCTCGATTGCTTCGTTATTTTCGTAAGCCCTTGGTCTTATTTTCCCTTCGGGGGGGACGATTCGCATAATTGGTAAAAAGTATCGTTAAGTCGGAAGTTTCAAGACACAAACTTTTTAAGAGCGGCTAGGAAGAGTGGCCGGTGCACACGCTCGATTCGTACGCATGCACGGAATAACGAGGTCTCCCAGCCCCCGATCATATCAGCCTCGCCACCGTGTACTACTTATAATATGCAAATTTTCTCCCCTTAACCAACCAGTCCTGCCCGAGAGCTGCGTGTAATTCAGGGGTTGCTAACCCTTGCGACTCTATTTCTACACCACGTGAGCGTTCATGTTCTCGGGCGGAAGCCTTCTGCGTGCGTCCTCGCTTCCGTATGCGTGGCTCGATCCCCGTGTGCGAGCGTTGTTTCGTTCAATTAATATCAGTTCGTTGTATATATATATATATGACCATGGGCGAAATCCGCGTGTCGTAGAGAGGAAAGAAAAAAGAAAAAGAAAGAAAGAAAGAAAGAAAATCCGCGACGGTAACGCGACACCATCAAGGGTGAGAGGAATCACGCGCCAAAGTAGCGGTCAACGATTGTTTCTCGCGTTCAAAAAGAAAAAAAAAAGAAAAGAGAAATGTCGAGCGGCGCATAAATCGTGGTACGATCGTGTCACCGTGATTTCCTTTTCCCTTTTCGGGCACGCAACGACGATCTAGAACGACTCGAGAGCGAACACGAATGTTGGCGAAAGAAACGGTGACGGATCATGGTGGAAAAATCATGATTCTGGTAGCTCTTCGTTTCTCTTCGTAGAAATGCGAAAGAAGGATCGATGATGATGGTATTTCGAGCGACAATATCGTTCCCGTGGATAGGTTTACGACTCGAGGGTTATAAATGACCGATGCCGTGAAATAACACGATGGGATGGTAGACTAATGCCAATAATCGACGCGGCATGCTAATGTAGTTTGAGCATCTATTACGTTTAAGCCTGATGGATCCCTCTTGACGTGTCGTTCCCGGAGCGTGAATACCTTCGATCGCTGGGGCTACATCCCCGAAGGTGTCCGCCCAGGCGACATCGAGGCCCGTTCCACCATTTCCTCGAAACGGTGAATGTCATTTTGACATTTAGCATCTGAATGGAAAAGACAATCGACCGAGGCAGCCGGCGGGGGTTTGACGCGATAGATAATGTCGGGTCGCGGATCGTTCCTCCACGCGTATTCTCCTCGTTAATTGTCACGTTGAGATTGGAAGCGCGATACCAACGCGATTCTAATTTCGACGAGATGCGCCTGTAACGGTTGATTCGTGATATTCAATCGTATCTTCTGGGACGTTCTTCTTTCGAGGGAAGAAGCGTTTCGTCGAACCGTGTAAAGATCGTGGGAACGGATTAGAGGGAGGACGATCAACAGGAGTTAGGAAGGAAAGGATATAATTCGACCCTTGGAAGCCCAGCCGGCTCGTTGGTGGAATTAAACGTCGCGACGGAATGCAAAGTGGTGGTGCTATCTCGACTTGACGAAATCAGGAGTAAAAGAGGGAGACGGTGGGGAGGCGTTAAGATTCTTAAAAACCGCCAAGTGGGGTGAGCGCCGTGGCAGCTGCCGCCCTAACGCTCTCCTTAAGCCATGGCTATGGGAATGGCGAAGTTGGCCCGGCCCTAGGAGGAGGTGGAAGGTAGTTTTTCTGATTGCCTGAGAACAGACAGCTGTCCCAATCTTTCTCAGCGCCCAGGAGAGCTTCGAGTCCGAGGAGGATCTCCTCGGCTCTTGTAAATAATGCCTGGCCGTGAGGCGTTTACGAATAACTCGAGCGTGGCGAGTGATCCTAGGTAAACCGGTAATGGGGGGTGAAAAAGAAGGGAATGGAAAGAAATAGGACGGTCATCACCCTCGATAAATTCAATTACCACCGTCTTCCACAGGACGATCCAACCTTTCCTCCTTCTTACGTGGTCTCTTTCCTTCCTATAAAAAAAAGTTACGCCTCGTTGAAAAGAGATTATTCCATCCGCATCCGTCGAACGTGTCGCGCGCGATTCTTTGAGCGAGTTTAGAGAAGGGAAAAGCGTTTTCGAGAGGCCAATTTCTCGATCGATTTTCGATCGTGTCTTTTTATCATATCGCGATGATCCACCCCTTCTCCCTCTCTCTCTCTTTCTCTTTCTTTCTTTTTCCCACGAGAGACAACTGTAACGCGTTTAAAAATTGGCGAGAAGTCTTATTTTCGTCTAATTTTCCCCTTGAGACCGAGCGGAGAACGCGCTGCGTGAGAAAGGGATAGGCCGCGAGGAAAGAGAAGGCGTAAGAAGGAGGGAGGGAGATAGGCTGAGAGGGAAGGAGTTCGAAACGATTATCTGAGTTTTAAAACAAACTCTCAAGTGTCTGCAAAGTCCTCTGCGAATCAGAGGGTTGAAGGGGGTGGAACAAGGTAGAAGGGGAGAAACGAGGAGGGAGGAGGTTGCGGAAGATAATATGCTAATGCCAAGACGGAGACTACATGGGAATTTAAGAGGATCAATGTGCAGTACGAGATTCGTACGGCGAATAAGGTATTACAACGTCTTCTATACTTCTTCCAGACGATTAGACCCTCGAAAGTTGGTGGAACGTGCACGGAGAGGCTGAATTAAATTAAACTTTCGAATATACGTCATTCTTATCGAACCATGATTTGCAACTTGGTGAGGCTTCTGACTTATAATATTACGATCTTCTAAGAAAAGAAAAAAAAAAAGAGAGAGAATAAAAATTTATACGAAAAAAAATGGAGGATAGGAAAATTTTACAATCCTCTCCCCTCCTCCCTCCCTCTAGGGAGGATATCGAATCACACGCATCGTTTTCGTTAACGAACGCGTTATTAGATACTTGACTACATTTCGCATGAAGTCCCTTCTCATAACGCACGAGGAGAAAGCTCGCATGGGAAAGGCCAGGTTGCGAGCTTATGCGAGATTATGAGTTTAGTTACGAAACAACGGAAACGCTACTCTCTGTGGCGTTCTCTACTCTCTTTTCTAACGATTATTACACGTAGCGCGTGGACTTTCACGTCCACTTATTATACGAAACTGCCTCCCCCGCACTTGGTTTAATCGACTGACAAAATTGCACGATCCCTTTTCCAGGAACACGGGAACAAGTTTAAATATCGAAATCGAAATACCTTCCCAAATACATCTCGCTTTTTTTTCATTTAACATTCAACTATAACTAATAACGCGAGACACGGTCAATTGAAAATCGTTTCGCGAAAGAAAGAAAAAAGAAAGAAAGAAAGAAATAAAAAAGTGGCTGGAAATTCCGAATGATGGAGCACATTAAGGGAATCCAACGCGATGTAATAATCCCTGGTAAAATAACGAGGTTCACGGCACGAGGTTCAGTTCTAAATGATCCTCCTTCGATAAACGACGTGGCTAATTCTCATCTCGTGCCTCGAGCGGATGGATCGAGCCCGGCGAAGAATCGAGGCGCAAGAGGGTGGCGCTAATTTTTGCGCTTAAGAAAAGCAGCGTTGCGGAGGAAGCGGCTACCACCTGGCTGGTTCCCAACCGCGGGAGATCAACGGACAAATGACACGCGATTCCCGTAGCTCCTGGTAACCACCGACAACCCTCCCTCCCCTCCCCCGATTCTCCGCATTTACCGTCAGTTACAAACTGCCTTCACCTTCTCTCGTCGAGTCGCGATTAATGTCTTATTCGTGGCCGAGGTGCAAAGGTTCCGCTTCGTAAATCGCGCCACGGAGTTAACCAAAGAACGGTGTATACATCAGTTTGGTGCGATAATTATGTGGAAAAAATATGCGAAGGATTCGAAGTGATGAACGCGTGGAATATGCATAAGATTACGTATAATGATAACGTCGAGGGGGGGAGGGTGTGTTAAGCTTGAAGAATGGTTGTCTGAAGAAACGGAGTCGAGGAAACAATGGAAACTCGTCGCTCGAAAAGAAAGAAATGAGAATCCTTTTTAGGAAGTGAATTTGAAAAGGAGAATTCCGGCGCGCGGAATTAAAATTTCATTTCGTTCCAACCCGTGAAATCTCAACCGTGATTTTTATCTTGCAATACATTATCATGTAAACGGTAATCCGGTATTTGTGCATAAACGATTTGCAGAGCGAGTGCCGTTTGATTACAAAGACGCGGCAGTAAATCCATGGGACGGTAATTCCATCTCTGGCAATTGTAGATAAAACTTGAATAAGTCATAGACTTAATTTAACCGTGGTGCTACCGACCAACAGCGGCCCGCAGCCTTCCATGGAGATTTCTTAATTACGTGTGGGGTATTCTCTGGCGGGGTGGATTGGGGGTGAAAAAGAAACGGAGAGAAAGCGGAGGAGGAAAAGAGATAAAATGGAAGGGCGTTTGTATCGAGGAGGCAGGGAGGGAGGGGTGAAGAGAGAGAGAGAGAGAGAGAAAGGAAGGAAGGAAGGTGGTGGTTGGCTCTCGTCGGCTCGCGGAAAAGCTGAAAAGGGTTCTCATTGCGGCAAGAAGATTTAGAAATTCTTGCCAGGGAGAAAAGTCTCCCTTGCAACGGTGATAAAGCGTTTCTTCGGCGGTGCTTTGTCATTTTTATCATAATTATTTACGGGTTAATTACTGGGCCCTCGCCATTCGCTCCGTGCGAATTTTTCACTGCCACTCGCACCTTGGACTTTCCAATTAAAAAAAAAAAAAAAGAAAAAAAGAAAGAAAAAAAGAAAGAAGAAAAAAGAAAGAAAGAAGAAAAAAGAAAGAGGGTATTTCATATTTCAAGCCTCTCTTCAACCGTATCATATTCGAGAGAATTATTAAACAGAGACCTTGGTCTTTCCTTCCCTTGGACTCGCCCTAACTGTTCAAACCACTTTGCGGACAAGTTCACCACACACGCATGAGGGAAATCATGAGAATGCCAGGCTCGTTCATCGTTGGCGAAAGTTGGCATGATCAACTCGCGAACTAAAATCATGGTAAGGGAGGGATCTCGTCAGTTGGGAGGCGAGGAGGGGGCCTGCGCGGCACGGTCTGCCGAATTTTAAGCCTGTATAATTTAACACCTTTGCCGGCGAAACTAAGAGAAACTGATGGTGAAGGGAACAACGGAGCTAGAGATACGAAGTTTAAAGTTTTCAACGGCACTTATCTATCCTAGCGGCATCTCTTGTTCCTCGTGCTACCCTCCGCTGCTACTTCCACGAGCACACTTTCTCCCTCTTTTCTCTCTCTCTCTTTTTCTCTCCCTCTCTTCGTTTCTCTTCCGCTCGTTGCCGTTCCGATGAATATGACTCGAAGATAGAGACGGTCGAACACCGAGAGACCAAATGACGGAGAAGAGAGGAGAGGAGAGGAAGAACGAAAGAGAGGATATCGAACGGGAGGGAGAGGAAAGAAGAAAAGGAAACGCCCAAGTTGAGTCGTCGCTCCGCGTCTGAGCCGAGAGATACAAGTTCGCTCTGTTCTGGCCTCTTTGTTTTTCGAGTAGAAAATCGGAGTAGACGGTTCTGGAGGAACGAGAACAGGAACTGCCGTGTCTAAAACGAATTCGTTAGTGGCGTCAACCCCTTTCACCGCGCCAATCCGACCCTCTTCCGAGTTTTAAGTCTCTGTCGTGAATAATTGTTCGAATCAGATTAAGGCGTTGCCCGCTCGATTGATTGCGAATGTAATTAGGAGGCTGGGGAGGGGGAGATTCTCCATTTTTCTTTCCCACTTTAGATTCACCAACGATTCAAAAGAGAGATTCCAAAAAGGCGAAAACGGAAACGGTTTGTTGTAGGTTATCGATTATCGTTCGATTCGTGATATAAAATTTATCTATATCGTTCTTTGTTTCAACGAACCAGTTATAACTCGACAAATCTTCTCTTTTTTTTTTCAGATCATGTCACCTAATCCGCAGAGGCAAGTGAACGGAGAGACGACCCATAATCACAATGGCTACGCGCCCGCGAGCTCGAGCGCCCATAACATCCTCAACTCCATGAATAATTTAAACGGTATCAATGCACAGGCACCTTACGATACCAAATGACAAACGAAGTAAGCGTCTGCCATCGATCGTATCATCCAAACGCGTTGCCAAATTCGTTTAACAAGAACACGGACGTCTTCTATCGTCGTCGTCGACGACATCATCGTCATCATCATCATCATCATCATTGCCGCTATCGTAGTAACACCCGGAACTCGTCCGTTCGTTATTGGTGTCTGAAAAGTCTGTTCGAGATTCGTTCGTCGAGACAACGATGAAACGAAAATTCGATTCGTGACCAATATAATACGAACGTTGGTTGATTCGTTCCGCGTAGACACATTTTCCAATGGCAACTTCTATTTCTCTAAAAAAAAAATCTAATCTAGGTAGTACTCTAGTTAAATCGGTCCCTATTACGTCATATTATTTCCCAACAAATTTCCTCGAATCGTACGTATCCTCGCAATTTATTATTATTATCCATGACGTAATAGGTTGCCCAAAAAATCCTGAAGACTGTACGAGTCGACTGAACTGTCGTGATGCGCGTGAAAGACAGATTGGTGCTGTTTTAGACGAAGTTTAATTCGAATTTCGCGAGTTATAATGTATAGAAACGTAAAAATCCGAGGATTTGAAAGGACCGAGAGGGGTGGAAAAAAGTGGGCGGAAAGCGAGCCGGAGGGACGAAGAAGGGGAGATAGAAGAAAGAGGAACGCGGTGGGGGGGAAACAATGCTCAGGGGTGATCAAAGTTTGCCCGTACTTGTAGTCGACTTTGCTTGGCTCCGTTGCGGGCCACGCCGGTAAATCTAGCTTTACCACTGGACCACTGGACGAGCAGCAACGGGCAACAACCGGAGGTGGAACTGGAGGAACCGGGCAACCGAGCGAAATTGGCGAGCGGGCTCCGGTTGGCAGATCGAATCGGTGGGTTCGCCGTCCAAAACCAGCGAGCCCGACCACCCCTTGGGGCTCATACGTTAGGGGTGACTTAAGCATTGTTTCAAGTTCGAATCTCCCGGTAGAGGGCCAGATTGATGTCACGAACTTTTTCCGTTGCCTTATTTGCGAGTCAGATAACGAGGCTGAGTTATGCCGAAACTTCTCTCTTTTCTCTCGGATCGGGCCGAATAAGATGTTTTATTTCCCCCGATTCGAAGCGCGACGCGGCCAAGATTTGTCGGTGGCACGCCTCCGGAAACAGTTTCGCGATCCCTCGAACGATAATAGGCTTATGCCTGTCGGATACGATAATTTTCCGGGAAACGAATACTTTTCTCCTAGTTCTCGACGATAAATAGATGTGGTGCGATGAATCGTTCGACGTGGCCGGATCATTCTCGACGATTATTATTTCAAACGAAACGAAGCGATCCAAACTTTTCCAGCGTGAGACGAGAAATTTGAAGGGACGTCGAAGAGACGATGCGTCGTTCGATGCGTTTTTTTTTTTCTACGTAATTGAAATCGATAAAAATTTTATTGAAAAAAACACGTAGGAAAAATTAAGACGTCGCTTTGACAATTGTTCGAAGAAATTTTTTCATAAGATCGTCAATCCCGATTCATTCTCGTCGTCATTCGCGATTTCTGTTCGATCCCTTCCTTGTCCACACGATTCTCCACATTCCTCGCACGCCAGGATGAAAGTAATCGTTTTTTTTTTTTTTTTTTTTTTT